TGTGTGTGTGTGTGTGTACACTAACCCTCCTCCCAGGGAGGTATAATCCACTAGAGGTTGAAATGCTCCAGTGCTGTTGGGGGTCTGAGAGAATCGCTCTGGAAGCATGGTGGCTCACCCTATCACATATTCAGGTCAAATAAACAAACAAAAAAAATTGTTAAGAGAAAGGTTAAAACTGAAGAATTGTCTCTTCGCCGGCTCTGAGATCGCCTCCCCCATTCCCCGCGGGCAACACACACACCTCACCCCCAAGAGGCAAGACAAGAAAACCATTTGATAAATCATGAATAGTCACAGTTGTGCAAGTGCTGTGACCATTTCTAAAATTTATTATGGGGATTACACACAAAATCACACAATGTAACATTTCCAAATGTGTTATGAATGCTTCCCAGAATCCAATTCAAATCCTAGGTTACCAAATAAGCCTGAACAAATCCCCCACATTGAGTTCTTCCACCTTTGAAGACTTGAGAGGTCCGGTCTGCAGGGCAGGTTTTACCACGCCACGCAGACACCTCAGCAGCACACAGAGAAGAGGGCTAGGTGAAAGGAGAGGGTGGGAAAAGGAGAGCATAGCGGTGCTCTTACAGTGATGGCAACATAAATGTCTTTATTTGCATATTAACCTTGAATTAATTGCAAGTCACAAAATAAACAGAGACGTGTCGATAAATAAAATTGGTTTAATTTTTCTGCAATGATACAAAAATAAAACATCAACTGAGCATCGTGTCAACTTCTAAAAAGAGCACAGATGCTATAAAAAGCAATGAGTGATGTGTCTTTGTGGCGAGACTGATAGTGTGAAGACGAGAGTTCATTCAGTCAGAGTTAACCTTGAGGCAGCAGAGTCCTCTCCCTCCTTGTTTGTCCTTGTCGGCTTTCCACCAGACTCGACTTTGTCTCCTCAGAGATGATCTGAAGGCGAGTGTGTGTTTAATTGCATCTGTTTTGTTTGTTGGCAAACTCCTGCGTGAAACACAACACAAACATTTATGGCAGCAATTAAAAGACATGTCATATTAATGGAAAGAACGAACTTGGCAAACACACACACACAGACACACACACACACACACACACAGAGCCATGCCATTATGGCGGCACAGCATTTGAATTTATGGAGAAATGTGTGGGAAAGAAAGCCCAAAATTTCCCAAGTTTAGCACCAGCTTGAAAACTGGAGCACAGACTTATCCGACAGAGTGCCCGTCTCTGAAATTATTTAAACAGAACTTTCAGCCTAAATTCAACTTATAAAACTGCACATGCTTAAGGAGATCAACGTGCCTTGTGTGCCTCCGTGTTAGCAAACTCTTCCCAAACAGACACTGAATGGGGTTCTGCCCCTTTAATCCCCGGGGAGGGGACTGGATGTGTTTTGATGACCTCTGGGGTCACTTACATGTTACATTACACAAAGGTTTAGCTCTTTTGTGATAAGGGAAGAGTGCGGGGAAAGCCCTCTGTTTAGGCATCTTGCTCACTATGCAGTTGTTGCAGCAGCAGCAGTGGTTGCATGTATCCATCAAACCTGCCAGGCTAATTAAAATACAGCTTGTGATTATCCTTCTCCAGCTCATCTTTCTCTCTTTCTTCCTCTCTCTCTGTCACCCACACACTCACAACCAAAAAAAAGAAAGAAAGGGAAAAAAAGAAAAACACACACACACACACACCAAATATCTAGCTACAGTAATTACTGCCTGCATCATTGATAAACAATAGAGTTTAACCTCAATCATTACATTAACTTAACTCTTAGCTGCGATAAAAACAATTTGAAATAAAGTAGTTTAAAACTTCATTACTACATTTACATAACAATCCTATTTTTATTTAGTTTTTTTGGCAGTTGAATGATATCTGGATGGATGGTAATAGTTTTAATTCTATAAAGTAATATTTCTGTTGGTTTATACATAATAACTTTGTGTATTTAATAAAGAGGGGAGAAAAAACTAGAGCATGTTAGCAGAAGTAATACTGAACGATAAAGGCTGACTGAAGTGTAATCAACCTTTCCTGGGGGTAAATTTGAAATCCTATGTGCAGAAGGAAAGGCTCTTCTTGACATTACAGATTATCATTTCTATATGAATGCTTTGCATGATTTTGTTCCCATTTTAAGTCTCTTTTTAAGCTGAGAATGAAATCCACCAACACATTCCTCGTATTCAGCCATGCGAATATGAAACCATAGGTGGGAAAAGAGAAGCAAAAGAGATGCGAGAAAAGCTGTTTTGATGGCAAATACGTTATTTGAAATTAAGGAAATTTACAAGCACCTTTTTTCCTCTTTTTTTTTTGTTTTTTTTTAAAGTGCGTTCATGTATTCTATAATGTGTTGATTATTTCTTTTCCACGCCTGGATAAAGCACAGAGCAGTGAAATAGGGGTCTGTATTGCCCGTAATTATCCAATCTTAAAAATGCGATTTCCCCCCCCCCTATCAAACAAGGGTCAAACATCCAGGGCCTGCGCAGTGCGTTTGAAAAGATGCATGGCTACGCATTAACTGTAGAAATCACAGATTGGAGCGGGCCTGGTGAAATCCTCACCCTCAGGTTGAGTGTAGCAGAGGCGGAGATAAAAGCAGTCGTCGTCAATTAGCCGGGAGTCAGTGGGAGCGCTGCTCGCCAGAGGCGTTTAACTCCTTCTCCTTTTAAACGTCCTTTTAAGATACAAAGTCCCCGAGGAGGGCCAGGCTTTACAGTTTAATAAATTATTTAGCAATTTAAACGGTGAGATCCAGCAGATAACAGCACAAGACGTCATCATTTTTCACGCAGTTTGAGACCCTCTGCATGCAGCTGCCAAACATAAGGAAACATTAATAAAATATTTTTTTAAATGAAGGTTTTACTGTCAAACTGTTTTTGGTTGTTTTGTTTTTTGTTATTTTTTATTTTTTATTTAGGCGTGCACATTGTAACAGTCACAAGCACACCCTCGTGTGAAATAATGTGAAACCTCAAGAAAGTGCAGGACTTCATTCACACTTTGTGCGCTATGATGATTTTTGCTATGTTTTAGTAATAAAGCAAACAGCAACACAAAAAAAATACTTATCAAACAGTTAATTATTCCACCCGTTTAAATTTGCCTCTACGTGATAAGTTAAGTGATTAATAGACTCCTTTTCGAATAGATGAGGCAGTTCCTCTTAATCTTTCAAGAATAAAAATAAAAAATAAGCACGAGTTGCAAAAGAAAGAAAGAAAGAAAGAAAGAAAGAAGGTTACCTGAATGTGTCGCAGCTCCTGTTTCTCAAACATCTCCCAACTTTTCTCCCCTCGGCTTTGCTGTTAAAAGAAATCCAGCTTCGTGATCCACACCGCCGCTTCCCCACGATCGAAATCTGTCAACAGAGATGTCACTGTGTTTTGCAAAGTTGATAAGGTGTGCTGTGCGTCAGACTGTGTGAGCTCCAGAGGCTGAGCGAGAACCGGTACTCTCGGCAGCTGTCACTGCACCTTTGACTCCGGCCTTGCACACGAGCCACGGAGAGAGGCAAGCGACGAGTCATAAAAGCCCACGGTCTGTCTGTGTTTATAAATCTAAATCAATATTCAAATCTGTTTGAAGTGGAGCGGGTGTGTCCGTGCAAGCGCACAGTGTGTGTGTGTGTGTGTGTGTGTGTGTGTGTGTGTCAGTGTGTGTGTGTGTGTGTGTGTGTGTGTAGGTGTTACACAAAGCCTCTTAAGATGATACATTTACCAAGCCGTGACAAAAACCCTCGGCATATTATTTTGAGATGGGCACGCAGGTTCAAAATTCAAGTGACGTAGAGGAGGCTTATGTGTCCCTTGCAGCTTGTTGGTCCTCCAGTAAATATGAAATAACATCAACCCTGCACTAAGTAGCTGTTACTAGGTAAAGACAAAGGGAATAAATAAATAAATAAATAGTATTATTGTTCTTAATATTATTATTATTAAATCTACTAAAATGCACTTTCGGCACATGAAACAGAATTAAAAGAGGCCTACCTTCATATTCAGAAGTCTGTTTCTCTTCGAGCACATCTTCCTCCTGCAGGAACCGTTTCAAGTGCAGTCAGTGAAAAGTCGTTCCGCACGTCGCCAAACGGAGAAGCTTTTTGTGTGTGTGTAATTGCATGGCTGGCTGTACCCCGCAGGTGCTCAGGTGTCTCCCCGGTGGGAACCCACCTGGAAATATTGTTTGTACATTTCGGTGCAGGGCCTGCAGCGGGCTGACGGTAGCAGACTGGCTGCTCAGTGGATGGGAGGACAGTTTTAAGGAAATAAGTCGCTCTAAATCCCCCTTTTTTACGACGTGCTGGAATGTGAGAGGACGGTGCAGCCTTGAAGCTCCGCTTTGGTCCCCCGGTTTTTGTTTTTTGGTGTTTTTTTTTAGGGTTTATTTGTTGTTGTTTTGGGGGTTTTCCTACATATTTAATTCTACTTATATTTCCCGGTCTTCTTCTGCAGATTAATCTGGTGCCTCAACAGAGATGATAAAACATTTTATAATCGACTTTTAATATTGATCGGTTGTCTGGAAGCTTTCGTGATATTATTCTATAAAACATCGGTGGTTGTATTTAAACTGGTAAAGTAAAGACGAGAGTGTGAAATTATTAACGCTTAAAAAGAGTTTCCCACTAAAATACTCGACATACATTAAACGCTCTGAGAAGTCTTTATTTTTCGGATATGTTTCACCTCTCGCCCCCCTTTTTTATTTATAAATTATCTCTTACTTTAATGCTTCCTTTGATGTCATGAAAAAATATAATAAAATGAGAAATAAACTGACTTTTCTTTGCTTTAAACTCCTTCCACCTCTCATCATCCAACGGCGTACCGTTTATTTATTATCAGTGTGTCCTCTCTGCGGTGGGATGGGGATGTTGTCAGTCGCCCTCTCGCTGCCATTGGCTGAAGACTGTGCGTCAAAAAAAAGTAGCTGGAGACATTTGTTTCCCAGAAAGGAAAAAAAACCCTCCCCACCAGTGTAAGAGACGGAGACAGAGACAGACCTCAGCTCAGTCCTGCGGCTCCCATTGGCTGGCACTTTGTACAAAATCTAACTCAAACCACTTCACTCACAACACACCAACAAATCCTAAAGGCGTACATGCAGCCTCCCTCCTTCACTCCGCCGCTGTCGCAACGCTTCAGAACCTCATGTAGGCGCTCAACGCTTAACTTTTATCTCCAGTGAAGACGGCTGCTCCTGCTCTGCTCGGGTTTGTGATATTCTCCTTTTATGCGACAGGACGTCGTCGATTTCTACTGACTTTTATTATTTCTCCCGGAGGACACCAAGTAGACAAAGAATTTTCCAGTCATCCCTGCCAAGGTAAGTTCAGCTTTATTATTATTATTATTATTATTATTATTATTATTATTATTACACTACCGAAATTTAGTTAAAACCTGCAATTCCTCACCTGATCACTTCCTCGCCTAATCGTTTTCTTTAGAAGAGGAAGCAAAACGTTTCAACTGGTGCTAAAATAAAAACCCACGAAGACTCTAAAAGAGATCCCAGCGAGGAGGTTTCAGGTTATTTGTTGGCATTAAATATGCCGTCTTAAACCCAGGCTGTCACTGATTTTATGTGTGCACAAATACGGGTGCAATGGGTGCACACAACAAACTGATTTATTATATTAAAGAAAAGAAAAGAAAAGAAAAGAAAAGAAAAGAAAAGAAAAGAAAAGAAAAGAAAAGAAAAGAAAAAACGGAAATATTGTAAATCACATCAGTAAATCAGTAACTGATAAAATTACATTGTGATAGCTTCTGATACTGAAAACAAGACCAGACTCAGCGCTGGGCTGAAGTTCTCTTGATGTAATAATGGGCTTTTAAATAATTAATTGATTCCTGGAGGTCATATTTTACCAATTTCACACTCACTCACTGATCCAGGACTGCTACAAGGGCGTCTATCCATGTTTACTGAGTTAAGTTTCAGACAAAAATTTCCCACACATACACACACACTGCACTCGTGTATTCTGCGTAAATTAATACAGGATAAGGGCAGCAAAAATGGGAAACTGTGGAGGCGTCCAGGCTGAAAAGTTCACCGGAAAAAAAGAAGAAGAAAAGAAGGAACATTCGGGCCTGCTACTGAAAATTATTCCTGGGCCTCCTCTGTCTTCTAGCTCTCCTTTGCCTCGGAAAATAAATAATTCATAAGACAATAAACCAACACTTCATTTGGATGGATCCTGTTTGGGGAGGGGGGGTCACAATTAGGAGTTTAGCTCAATCAAGCAAATATCTACGAGAGTTTAATTTCTTTACTTTTGCTGATACTTTATGCTTTTTTCCTACTTTATATCAGCAAATTTGCGATGAAATCCTAATTAACACACGAGGATTTGCAGGAAAGAAATATAAAGAAAGAGAGCCGGGTTTGATTTGCAGGAAGCTCTGTGGACTGTACTCACACCAAACTGCAGCTCGGTTAGCTGCCACCTGGATCGCCTCGTTAAATTACGAAGAAAAAAAAACATTTCTGATAATTAATTATTGGACAGAGTAATTATTATCGAGCGTGTGTGCGCGCAATTGGTTGACGGGTGTGTTTTAAGTGTGACAGATTGGGATGAGGGGGTTAAAACCGTTGGATATTGAAAAGAAAAAAAAATGCAACTAATCAAGAGGCTCAGTGGGGATAACGCGTGAGGTTCACTGAAGTTGAAGTGACAGCAGTCAAAAAATACCAAGGAGCAAATTTGTTTATTTAAAAGAACTGCAAAAAAAATGTGTATCGAGAAAGCATGTGTCCATTTTTCTTTCACTGGTTCAATATTTTAAAATGATCTCCTTCTTACATAAAAAATAACACAATTTATTCACTAAATGAACCTGAAAATTCAGTAATTTTTACTTTAAATCACATCAATATGGGCGCATATTAATCTTCATCATAAAAATGTAACGTTGACTGTGTGCTTTGTCAGACTAAACGGACTCAGACGTTTTAGTAACAATCAGTTCAACTTCAGCTGTTTTTCTTCTCATCCAATCGATTATTACATACATACAATCTAATGTTAACATAAACTAAATAATATTCAAAAATAAAAATAAAGTTAGTTCCTAATAAAATAGATAATTTGCCAGCAACTTTTATTTATTTTTAGCTTTTATTTTGAAGAGATTTATCTTCAATTCATGGTGTTTACTGTATAAAGGAGATAGTGGCTTTAACCTGTTGCAATCACAGTGCTCCTTTCTTTTTATTCGTTTTTTTTTTATCTTAATCGTGGGAGGGCGTGTGGGGGTTGCAAAGATGAGGACAGCTGGAGAAGTGGCTCGTGCTTTTTGAGGAGAGCCATGCGCTCTGGAAAGGACTTATTTCGCCACAGCGTCACGTAAATAGAGCCAATATCACTTCACGAGAATATCCGTCTTCCTCTTCTTTTCTTCTTCTTCTTTTAAACAGGTGCCAGGTGTAATACGGACCACACGGCGAACAGAGGACACCGAATACTCCTCGGGAGCTCCATCAATTTTCAAAATTTTCTCCAACTTCAGCACTCAGACAAACATTAGCATGATGTCGTATCTAAAGCAACCACCTTACACAGTTAATGGCCTCAGCTTAACTACTTCCGGCATGGATCTTTTACATCCATCAGTGGGCTATCCAGGTATGTTTAACCTCTTTGAAAATTAAATAAGATGTGATCACACAGCCTGAAAATGACTTAGGGCTCCTTGCTATTATGTTACAGCAATTAACCAGCCCTTCATATACCTTTTTAATTCACGAATTATTATTGCGTGTATTATTATTGTTATTCTTTCTTTTTTTTAAAAGGAAAACAAATATGAAAAATAAATACATTTATTAGACTGACCAGACCAATACAAACAAAAGGTGATGGAAAGTAGTCTACAGAAAACTTCTAGCGCACACAGCTTGGAGTGAGGACTAATCCTCAAGTCTCTCCGTGTGTGATTTTATTTTTAGATGTGGCTCCAGAGGAAATTACTGGCAAATTACTTTGATGTTTGCATTAAATTTTTTGGCACGTTAGACTCAAAGATGTCAAGTGCTACAATTTGCCACCGGGTTTTTTTTGTTTTTTTTACTCTCACAGGACTCCTGCGTAATTAGTTTCAAATTTGCCTTTGATGACTTTTTTAAAATTGTACATGTATACATAAATAACCTATGCGATTTTTTTTTGTTTCTCTTGCACTTACAGCCACTCCACGGAAGCAGAGGCGAGAACGGACTACTTTTACGCGCGCACAGCTCGACGTTTTGGAGGCTCTATTTGCTAAAACTCGGTATCCTGATATATTCATGCGCGAAGAGGTAGCGCTGAAAATCAATCTACCTGAATCCCGGGTACAGGTGAGTCAACTGAAGCCAAGGCATATTTAAAATATTGTTATATATTGTAGAATGAAAAAAGTGGCTTTGTTATTTTTTATTTTAATTTGAGAAGCATCAAACGAAACATTTCACTCTGGAACCTGTAAAGTATTTTAGTATTTTAAATAAATAGTATTTTACCTGTACTTGTATTTGATTTAATCTGGGGAAAAATATATTTCTAACTCATTTGAAAGGAAACACAAGCATAAAAAAAGTATTTTTTAATTTAATTTTATTTATTTTTTGCTTTATATGTACTCTAAAACGCCCCCCACCTCACCCCGAACAGCAATATATTTACCGTGTTTTATAATATTTCAGTTATTAGGACTGTTCCAATTACGTTTAAATAATTTTACTGGGGCAAAAAAGCCTTTTTATACATATATATAGCCCCTTTCCTATTTTAAACGGTTAGTATAGCTTGGTTAGTATTTATGGGGACATTGTAATGAATGTGTTCAATTATGTTCCTGCTTTAGGTCTGGTTTAAAAACCGGCGGGCAAAGTGTCGCCAGCAGCAGCAGCAGCAGCAGAATGGGGGGCAGAACAAAGTGCGACCTGCCAAAAAGAAAAGTTCCCCAACCAGAGAAGTGAGCTCGGAAAGCGGGGCCAGCGGCCAGTTCACACCCCCCACCAGCACCACCACGGTCCCCGCCATCTCTACCAGCACCGCGCCAGTGTCCATATGGAGTCCGGCGTCCATTTCTCCCCTCTCAGATCCCTTATCTACCTCCTCCTCTTGCATGCAGAGGTCTTATCCTATGACCTACACACAGGCCTCGGGCTACAGCCAGGGCTACGCCGGGTCGACGTCCTACTTCGGGGGTATGGACTGCGGCTCTTACCTCACTCCCATGCACCACCAGTTGTCAGGCCCGGGGTCAACTCTCAGTCCGATGAGCACAAACGCAGTCACAAGCCATCTGAACCAGTCCCCGGCGTCCCTCTCCACCCAGGGATACGGGACGTCCGGCCTGGGCTTCAACTCCACAGCAGACTGCTTGGATTATAAGGACCAAGCGGCATCGTGGAAGCTGAACTTCAATGCCGATTGCTTGGATTATAAGGATCAAACGTCCTCGTGGAAATTCCAGGTCCTGTGAACCGAGCAATCAGCTATCAAAAAGTGCACAAACAGTGACGATCACACGAGACACAGCGCTGCCATCCCTCAACAGAACACTTCAGACTGGGTAAAAACGTGAGCCTGGTACACCGAGGCAGGGCTCTCAGGGGGGCCTCTAGTTTTTGGCATGATGGTCTTTGGTCCTCCTAGAGGAGAAGTTAATGTATTTTAGCACTGGCAAAGAGATTTCCCCTCTCCCGTTTATTCACCGGTTGTAGCCCTTCTTTATCTGTCAGTGCGTACCTATGTGCGTAAAAAAACAGACAAACAAACAAAAAAACACCACCTGTTGAGGACGTCACAGAGTGGACTCAGAAAGAAAAGCACACCACAGCCACGGAAGTAAAAGAACAAAACTCAAGTTAATAGTCCTGCTGAAGTGCTCGGGATGGACAAACCTTCTTAAAGCTTCTTAAACAACTTTGCCGCCCTGCCGGCAGAGTGTGTGACACGAGGATGGCGTGTGGACATGGATGCACTACTTTATTTAAGAAAAAAAAGTGTTTATAAGGAATCAATATGTAGTTTCTAAGAGACAATCAGTGTGCGTCTTATATAAATGGTACATATGTGGTTTCTTTTTTTTTTTTATCTGTGCTAGCCTTCGAAACTGTGATCTGTTGTATTGTATGCAATTTGTGAGCCCCCCCCCCCCCTCCCCCTCGCATCGGACTCTCTGCTGTGATTTTATTAGATTTCTAACTTTTTCGTTTTCTTTCGTTTTTGTTTCTTTTGGGGTTTTTTCACCAACGAAAGATGCTAATGGTTATTTTTACTGCATCACAAAGAGAGACGAGACTTTCCAAGCACATGGTGGATGGTAGTAGTAATCAAGGGTTAGCCATACTGGAAAAGACTCTCGGCTGCTGAGAGCTCTACACTTGCTTCCCCTCCATTGATCTCAACACACGGTGATTGTGGATCCTTTACTGGCTCCAAAGATGGTGTGACCTCACCGCTGAAAAGACATGAATAAAGGTCCTGTGAGCTTACTCTTTCATCAATAGACGATCTGTGTGTGCGTGTGCGTGTTGGAAATTAAAGTGGAACCCTGGCAATGTGCGCAAAAATCATGGTTGTTTAAGGGGGGGTTCTTCGTTTTCTGCGACTTTGAGACCTAAAAATGGAACAGAACCTTTGTGGGTACTATTTTTTTTTTTCAATCGAGGCTGCGGTGGTATATGTGCGTGATGAGGCAAAGAGGGAAAACCAGAACTTTCGCATTAATTAAGCCAATAATGGCCGTCTGAGTAATAATTAGCCTACACTTGTGCGTGCCGACCAAACTCTGTTTTCTCACGCGTAATTAGTTTTTCTATCACGTCTTAAAAACAGCCCAACGCATTAACGCCCATGTGTTGTCTTTCGATGAGTTTCAGAGCCATCCAGTGTTCATAGTGGTAATGCGCCACATAAACTTAATCCTCTCCTTTCCCTTTATTTAATCGCAAAAGAAAAAAAGAAGAAGAACGAATTAATGCCGCATTGTTTCCGGTAGTGCAATTCAGACAGTGAAAGAGAGTGTGCGGTTTGAGAAAGCAGTGTTTAATCCCGGACTCCAAGAGATGTTAATCCCAATATTTTACCGGCGGGGTTTCTCTGGGGCGCAGGGCAGCCGTGGTCCTATTCAAAGCCCGCGCGGCATGGCTTTCCACGCCTGATCCCTGGATGAGCTCTTTAATACAAAGGCTAATATTTAGTGTTTCACAAGTGCGCTGATATGACATCAATATATCAAGAAACAACGTTAATTTGCTCTCACTGCCCTGAAAATAGACCAGTGAGAGATACACATAAGCGAAAAAGAAATTAAAACATACAACACTTGATTTTGGTTTGCTCTGTTGTGGGGTTTAGTTTAAGAAGTGCTTATAGCAGTGCAGTTGTACAAAAGTAAGAAATTGGCTCAAAAAGAGGGCAAGAAAAACTCCGCACAATATTCCTGTAACTTTATTCCCACATGCGCGGTGTGTTTAATTAAGTGCAGAGGAGAGGTTATGTCTAAAGGGGAAAAAGAAATCAATACATTTTAGGACTCAAGAGGAGAAAGCTGCTTTTAAAAGAGGGTTTGTTGTTATTTACTTTTTATTGCTCCAACTTTCAAGTCCGACGTTACTCTTTAAGACGACAGACAATAAAGTCAAAGCGGGTATGGGATCTGTAATGACTCGACATGGTTGTGCAGCGGGCTAATTGTTAGAAGTCCAACATTCAATTAGCATCCTTGACATTGCCAATAATCTCTCTTTCATTGGAGTCTCCGCTAAAGGATCACACTAATTAAAAGCGTTGCTTGAAATAATCGAAGCGTTAAAGAGAAGAGCGACTTTGATTCCACTCCTGCGTGGTCAGAAAATAGGTGTGTGTGCGTGTGTGTTTGTTTTATGAGGTTGAACTGCAGTTTAGAAAGACTTAATTATATAACAGGCCGTATAACTTATTCAAGGTTGAAGCACAAACAGCAGATTATTTATGGGTTCTCACTGCTGGATGCTCCTTTTAATTTAGCCTATTACACACGCAGATTGCAGCGTTATTCAACAGTAAATTACAGCCTAAGTTCGCGCAGTGCACCGCCAGGTTTAGCAACATACATGTATTTCGTTATGGTCATAAACAATGAAGCAATTGAACTCGGAAACAATAGCTTTGGTTAGTGGGTGACTGAATATTCATGAGATGCGTCAACAACTCCTTCATAGAGTCTGCTGAGGATGGAGGGAGGGGGTTCAGACTGCAGGGTCACTTTCAAATGCCAGACAAGGAGGGAAAAACTGTAAGAGAACGAGACAAGGTGCAAGAAAGGGGACTGGAGAATAAGAAGCATGGCAAAGGTTTGAAGATGACTCCCTTCAGAGACTATACCAAAAGGCTGGTAACCCTGTTAAATTTAATCATACAGCAGCACATCACAAAAAAAGTGTAGGACACTTAAAAAAGTGTGAAGAACCTACAACATTATGACAGAAACAATCTCAATCGGAATAAATGTACATTCTTGAAAAGGCATGATAAGTCCCACAATTACACTTAGGCGTCCGCACATGACATGAAGAATTATATATAAATATATACACACACCGTAAACATACTTGTCACTTTCGCATTTAATGCTGAGTGATATAACCAATAGCAGCTGAAAGGTTCCTTTTCTCCGCTTGTTATTCTGACCCCGGAGTCTCGTGTCTTCAAAGTGCACAAGTCATGAGAGGGATTAGGCGTCCGGCCTTCACAATACTTCAATACTTCATACACAGCCTACAATGAGTTTTAATCAAGACCAAAGCAGTCCTGAGGAGCATATGGGACCAACAGACGCTGCATTAATCCCTCTTGGTTTTTGTCTAACAGCGGGCCGCGCAGCGCCCCTCATCCCCTGGTCTGCTGTCCGGTCTGTAACAACTGCGAGTCATCCTCTGCATCATCGGCCTGCGCAAAGTTTGCCGGTTGAGGCCTCAACGCCCGCGGGAGGAAATGGGGAGGATTACAAACCGAGTGTGTGGTCTGATCGGGGGTTGTGAAAATTAGACAGATGAGAGTAAGTGATCCTTTTATAAAATAAGGCAAAAAAAAAGACAAAGAAGAGGAAGAGAGAGAGATAAATATTAGCTGCTGAACTCAGTGAATTTTCATTTAAATGCAAAGAACACCAATTTTTATTACTGAGGGAGATTATTAAAATAGCTGGTTAGGAATATTGGACAGGTTTGGAAAAAGTGTAAACATTATTTAATGGCTCTGAATAAGAAAAAAAAACTGTAATTCAAAAAAGAGTCTTAAAACATGTCTAAAAGCCTGCATGCTTTGTACATATAGTATACTTGTATATATTTATGGCTAAAAATGTAATAATTCTTTTTAAATCAATAAAATGATGACTTTCAGGCCAATATGTACATAAAACTAATACAAAATAATAAATAAATATTTTAAGCTAATCCAGCAGTATCCCCTTGAAAGTGCTTATCCAGGCTTAGTCGACATTTTCTGAAATTATTTAAGTTTGTGACATCATCAATTAATTTGATAATCTTGTCAAAGATTAAATTAAAGGGGTTTTGTATAGCCTACATAATAACAGATTTAGATGTTTTAAAAAATGAAGTCTAAAGAGATTTGAAGTAAGCGCAGTAAAAAGCATGTTATTTTAATTTCTCAGACTGCTCACACAAATCCGTGGATTTACAGAGATCCAAAACTGATAATGATACTAGGAAGCTAGACTAGGAGGTCTCAAAATGCAAAGGGCCACACATTGTTCGTGCAGCAGCAGCAGCACCGCAGAACCTGTAACCTCAAAAATATCCTCAGCATTATTTGCTCCACGGCTGATTTATAGCTTTCTGTGGTAAAAAAAAAAAAATGCATGTCAAGAGACTTTTTAAAAATTCTATGGCTACTGGGTCAACGGGGTCCTTTGCCCTGGTAAGTGCTCTTTAAAAAAAACTGTTTCACCAAATATGCCCAAACATTTGGCTTATGATGTTCATAAGCCCCACAGGACACAGCGGGCTTATCAGTTCATTAGCCACTTGATGGCCTATTTCAAGTTATAGTAGCTGGGAGGAGGGTGATGGATGAGGATACAACCATCCATTACTGGGGCATATTTTTTTAAGCTATTCAGAAATGTAGAAAAAACCCACCAAACCCATAAGAAGATTACCAGACCTCAGCATATGTTAAAAAACACATTACTACTATACTTATGGGTCAACTTAATACCTAGTTAGATAAAGCTCACCTAGTTAAGACTGGGCATCCATCCATTATTGAACAAAACAATTTTAGACACAAAGGTATATATAAGAAATGATACATTTATACTCTGCAATGATTTTAGTTTTTTAAATTTATTTTGTAACAGTAACTACATTTTAAAAAAGCTGAAATTCAGCATTTTTTAAAACTCTTTGGATTAAATGTTTCCCAGACATAAAAAAAAATCTCTCCACCAGACAAAATGGAAATACTTTCAGTGTGGATTACGTGTCATCCTAATGGTGCCGAACCACGAGGAGAGAAGTGCTGAAATATTAAAAGTGTAACTGGTGGTTAATATGGCTCAAAAGGTCACACATATGATTTCAACACGTAATATATTAAACAGAGCCACATATGGCTTCAAGCGAAATACACGAAATTCTCATTATTGTCAGAGGGGTGCAAACTTGGTATCATACGTCAAACGTGCACTGAGTCCTTAACAAATAAATATTTCTGTCTGTTACGAGTGCAAAAAATAAAAATAAAAAATGCATTAAAAAAATAACCAAAACGAATATTTCACAGCCTTCCTTTGATTCCCAGTTTTCTTTTAATTTTTTTGAGGAAGGCCTCTATATTGCATAAAATCTCCAGAAACAGTTTAATTTTCCCCCCACACTGCTGTCAAATTCAAACTTTCTAGCTCACAATATTTGTGCATGGTTTACTCCATAAAATGTAAAACATCAGCCAAACTGACTCATGGATATAAACTACTGTGTTACCCACATGCTATCCAGCTGAATCACAGCAAAGTGAGGATCAAGTGTTACTAAAAACAAGTACAAAACAATGCAAAGCACAAGAAACCTCCTCGATTGTGCCACTTAAAAACATTTACACAGCGAGTAAGCTTTTAATGCTCGTTTCTGTTATGCGTG